ATCTTCTTCGTTTCAAATGTCAATGACGATAAAAACCAATAAGCCTAAAGGAAATTAAAACATATATTAATAGTCAAATAAATGTAAAGAAGAGGCCAGGCTATGACTTAATAAGGGGAAAACTATTAAAAGAACTCACACAAATTATAATAATAGCTAAACCAGGAAAACCTACCGAAGAAATCAAGTCGAAAGTTTTCGAAAAACTTCTTGCTAACTGATGCAACGTCAAAATCGTTGCAAACGCGGCGCAAAAGAGCAAGTAAACAGAATAGTAAATACCATCTACCTCCGACCTGGAAAGTAAAAGATACAGCTCGGCTGTCTTTTTAGACATATCTCAAGCTTTTGACAAAGTTTGGCATCTCGAATTACTATACAAAATAAAGAAGAAATTGCCATATAATTATTTTAAAATCATACCTCGATAACAGAATGTTTCAGGTAAAAATAGAAGACGAATACACCGACTTATATCCAATAGAATCTGGGGTGCCGCAGGGAAGTGTTTTGGGACCACTGCTTTACCTTCTATATTCCTAAAACTAACAATACTACGATTGCAACATTCACTGATGACACAGCAATGTTGGAATCAGATGTGAATCCAGCAGTAGCATCCGATTATCTACAGGAAAATTTAGATAAGAAATAAAATCCGTGCATATCACATTCACCTGCCCAACTGGAATACTTAATGGACAAGATCTGTTCAAAGGAACAAAAGTCAAATATCTAAGCTTGCATCTCACCTGGAAAGATCACATTCAGGCTAAGAGGGAGTAATTAGAAATAAAGTTATAGATATGGTCGAGGATACAATAGCAACATTTAGTAGTAGATACGAAGATAGTCTGGAGTCACATATTAATGTTCTGGCTATTAGCCTACTCGACAACAGTGAAACCACAAACAGACTGAAACGTTGCAAACCACTAGATTTAAGTAATTATTAATGTTCAAAATCATTATTATCTATCGGAAAAGATTATCCATTTAATGTTAAGCTCACTATTCACATTGATGAACAGATTGTGAATAAACATAAAAAGAACTTGCCAAACTACTTTTCCTCAGAGTTACCAAATACTTGTGACCAAAATGTAAAAAATTAACAAAGCGAAAGCCGAAAATTCTTTATGCGGAACGGCAATTAATTTTGTAAGAGATAGATAGATTGTCGTTTGGGAACTTTTATGTTGCTGATAGATTTACGACGGGATGAGATGAGACAGGGCGCAACGGCTTTCTTTCGTTTCGTTGTTTGTTGTTGTTGTTGTTTAGTATTTATATGTTTGTTATAGCTCACCGCATTGTGTTTGCGAGACTTTAACGCGTTTAATTTTGAGACTGGTTTTATATGAGGGGCGCACGTGGTGCGATCGGAAATTTCTTCTTCATTGAGGTGAGGGGTGTGTGTGTGTGTGCACGATGTAATTAATTTGGTGGAGGAGTTTGCTCAACAGTTGGTGTCTGTCTACACGCGTTCGTTTAATGAGAATTCGCACGTTTAATGAAATTTCGACCGAAATTTCATTCGCAACGGAAAGTCGAAACAAAAATGCAAATCTAACGATGACGACGACGAGGACGCCTGCTGCGAATGAATATTTTATTAGTTCCATTTCGGTGTGATGAGAGGGGGGACGAGGGGTTGGTCATGGTCATCGGGTGTCGATTGTGTGCATCCGCCGGAAATTGCGATTCCCAATCCGATTTTTGCGAACCCACCTCTCTCTCTCTCTTTCTTTTTAACACGGCACGGGATGTCGCTTCGATCGCATCGCCCGTTTGACGCGTTTAATTTCAATTAGCGAATGCGAAGAGATACCGAGAATTATCCGCTCCCCACCTCTATCACTATCTCTCTCACTCACCCACATGTACACACATACACCGCTTCAACCGCATCCCTTGAGCAAACGACAAGAACAAAAGCGAAAAATAAACAAAAGAGAGTAGCGCACGTAACGTAACGCATTAGATATAAAACAAAATAAGTTTGACATTTAGGGGGGGAGCGATCGACGCACCCTGCGCACATTAAACGTGATTAATGTACAACTTTTCGCCAAAAATAAACAACAACAACAACAATAATAATAGTAAGTAATTACGATTAGTGCGAACGCGTGACGACGAGTCGCGTCTTATCAGATTATTTAATAATTTTAATGAATCAATATTACATTATATATATAAATTGATCTATATTTCTTTTCTACTTTATTATTAATCGACCTTCACGTTTCTCTCTCTCTCTTTTTCTCCATTCATCGATGTATTTACATGAATATATATGAGCGAGCAGAATTACAAGTTTTTCGTTTTGACGAGGGTGCGACGCGAGAATAAAATGATTTATTTTTTCTACATTTCTTGTAAAAAAAAAACATGAACCGATTTGTAGCATAGAACCGATCCACCGTTTCTCGCTTTGTGTGTACGTAAAATGTGTTTATTTTTAAAGAGCGATTAGATTAGATGTGCGTGTGTCTCGACAGGAGGGAATTCATCATAACGAATGATGATAAAGGTAATCATCATCATCATCAGGTAACGTTGGTTGGTTGATATGTGAAATAACAATAATAACATCATATGTACACACATTAACAAAGTTGAATTGCAGGATGGAAAGTTGAATTAAACGTATGTATATGCGGGATTAATGAAGCGGTGAATTCCATCGGGGATGATTATAAAGCTCGCTCGCAATTAAAATGTTTCAATGTGTGTGTGAGGATGCACCAAAGCGAAGAGAAGAAGTGAAGTTTTGGAGCATTGAACATTGTGCAGAGAGCGTCCCTCCTCTACCAACTCCACCTTACTCTTTTCTTCTCGTCCCAAACGGAAGGATGTTATTTTATTTTATAAGGGGAAAAGACGTAATGCAATTCGGGACAGCGCACGGAACTTGCAAGAATATTTACGACCATTGTTATTTCGCGCATCCCCTACACTTCCTACCTTCAATTTCCCGAATCGCATTTTGATTTATACGTGCGCGAAAAGTATTACCCTTTCGTCCCATAAATAATAAAAGTAATCGCGCTTTCATTTAGATGTCAGCACACGCGAATCCGACGCGACCTATGCAACACAAACGACAATTTATATTTTGCACACTGCAAATCAATGTTTCGATGCAACTTTTACTATTTCAATTTCACTGCCGCCGTTACTATTATTACAAGAAAATACGCTTACAATGATGATGATGATGATAATAATGGTAACGCACTTTTACTATAAATAGCGATAAGTGTCGTGGAAGTGGTTCAGTTGAGATTCGCAGGTTCGCGAGGTGCGAGTTGGCCGAACGGAGCGAAAACAAACAAAACGTAACCGAGTTGGCGCTTACGACATCATCATCATCATCCTTTTCATCAACATCGTCTCTCTCTGTGTGTGTGTATGTTGTTTTTTTTTTGTTTAAACAAAAGGTGTTTGTTTACCCGTTGCGAGGCGTTGTGAACGTGGAGATGATAACTTTACGAGTGAGTAAATAACATATATCACTTTTTTTTCTTCTGTTGTTATTGTTGCTGTTGTTATTTCTTTCATTTGTTCGACGATTTGCTGCAACAATTTTTCGTCTATGCGAGTGACAAATTTGTGTTGCGTTTTGTCCCACCGGTAAATAATTGCGAGTGGTAATTAATAGTCGTAATTCAGGCAGCGGCCGACGATTGTGATTCAATTAAACATTAAATATTGTTATTAATTACTGGATGGCAGCGGTAGTGGTCATGACGAATCTGATTATCATCAACCGGTTCGAAATTTCGGATTAAATTCGATTAATAACTAAATAGAATGATTAAATGAGTGAGCGAGTGTTTCGGTTCCCATATAGATAAATCACTTTAAACTTCTTTATCATCAACTCGTTTAATCTCTCTCTCTCTCTCTCTTACACACGAAACACAAATTATTCTATCTATTTTTCTCGCGTGAAGTGTAATAATTAGTTAGTTAGTTGGTTAGTTAATTGCGTCCCAAAGTCCGTGTACTTTCGTGGTCGCAGCAATCGCAGCTCTCTGGCGAGAGCTAGACCTAGAAACGAATATCAAACGACCTTCTTTCTTCGTCTGCGGTTTACAACAACCTACATTGATATGAAATTGCAATACTGTTGTTGTTGTTGTTACGTTGGGCATTCGGTCGGTCGGTTCGAGTTTAATGCATAAATTGGATTTAGTGCGCTGCGAAATTATTAAATTATTATATTCAAAAAAACAATGAAAATCCCGAAATTAGTTTATCGACTAGCGAGGGAGCGAATTAGAGTGATGAAAAACGTACGCGTACGGGATGAAGTGGATGGACGGATGGAAGGAACGTGATTTCGATCCGGTTTGGCGCATATTAACACCCGCTATTAATTAAAACACACGTTCCTCGTTCTTTTAATTGCGATGTTTGATGAGTTGAAGAAGCAGATGATGTAATTAAGGGAGGTTTGTTTAACAAACAGTGAAAAAGAATCGGTTATTTTCGCGCGCGCCCAATAATTGGAAAATGTTCATTTTCCCATTCGGCGACGTAAATGCGAAAGTGCGGCGCACTCGAAAGCAATATCAATGTTAAATAAACAAACGTAATATTCGTCTTTTGATGATGAGAAATAGAAATAGAGAGAGTTAGAAATACATCTTTTTTTGATTGATTAACTTCTGTATTTGTGTTTGCTCACTCACTCACTCTCTGGTCTGGTCTTGTGTTTGTACAACGTTTTCTGCAGATTCTTAGGTGATGGTGGTAGATGATGATGATGTGGGTACGGGGAATAGGAAAGAGAGTTTGAAAATTTCCCAAGAGATGTGTTCGGAAACGAAAAGAACTCTGACGGATTGTCTCTTTTTGAAAATGATATGTTTGTGCTTTTACGATAAGTTGCAAGTTGAAATGAAACCGAAATCATCCCCATTTGTTTTTTATGAATGCAATTGATGGTAGTGAATCGATTCTAATCGAGGAATGTTTTCTATTTTCAGATATGATCAGGAATGTCGGACAACGGAACTATACGGTACGTCGGGGGCGTCGACGTCGTAAGCAACGGCATCAACTGCAACGTCACATCGACGACGGCGACGACGACTGCGACGTCCGCCTTCTCGATGATGGATGGGGGATTGGTGGCGGCGGGCGTTGGAGGCGGTGGTGGAAACCAACACATACAAGAGTTGGCCCTGGCAGGTCTCCTCAGCGTCGTCATCGTCGTCACGGTGATTGGCAACACTCTGGTGATTCTAGCAGTGCTAACGACCCGGCGCCTCCGCACCGTCACCAATTGCTTCGTCATGTCCTTGGCGGTCGCCGATTGGCTCGTCGGCATTTTCGTCATGCCACCGGCCGTCGCCTACAGACTAATGGGTGAGCAATACATCTAAGATATATGTGTGTACGTAAGAATGTATACAAAAGAAAGAGATACATTCTGTGATGGATGACCATATACATTGTTGTTATAATCAAAGTAATGAAAGAGTAAGGAGTTGAACCCCTCACTTATCGATTACGAATTATTTAACTAAACGAATCGTATCGTTCATCGATTTGCGTTCGGATTTCCCTAATTGCATTAAATCTGTGTACCAATAAGTGTTTAATTACTTCTATTCAATGGATTTAATTGATCATCAATGTCTCTCTCTATGTGTCTGTGTGTGTGTTAATATATTGTAGATGGATATAAAAGAAGTCTTTCTAGCGTGTTTGTGTTTCATCAAGTTTCATTACACACGTGTAATAGGTTGATATTCTTTGTTGTGTGTCTAAGAAGTAATTAAGTATAGGTGTAATCACGTCCGTTTTATTTCTATTAACCGACACTTTATTGTTGCTTGTGCAGGTGAATGGGAATTGGGTTGGATCCTGTGCGACATATGGGTATCGTTGGACGTCCTCTTATGCACCGCGTCCATCCTGAGTCTTTGCGCGATCAGCGTGGATCGTTACCTGGCCGTGACGCAACCGCTGAGCTACTCGAGGAAGAGACGATCCAAGCGGCTCGCCTTCAGTATGATCCTCGTCGTGTGGATAAGTTCGGCGCTCATCACATGCCCCCCGATGTTTGGATGGTAAAATTATACACAATTGATCTGTTGCATCTGCAATCTCTCTCTCTCTCTCTGTTTGAATTCCGTTACAAGGTACGAGCACGGAAGGCACACTGGCAAAACGTGCAGATACAACAAGAACACGGGCTACGTCATCTTCTCGGCGATGGGCTCGTTCTTCATTCCGATGGTGGTGATGCTTTACGTGTACGTGCGGATCTCGTGCGTCGTCGCCCAACGACACGATCAGCTCTCGAACATCGAGGGAAGAGCACAGGTAAATTACATCATCATCATCATTCGATATTGAAAATTAATTAATTTGCTTTTGCAGAAGAGCCAGAAGCTCGTGTTGAGTAGTAGCAAGGAGGACGAAGACGAGGAAGTCGAACTCGAGCGCGCGTCTTCCGAATGCGATGACCATCATAAGCTGCAGCAGCAGCAACGTGAAGATGAGAATGAGGAGAAGGTCGTCTGCACGCGATACTTTTCCAGGTAAAAACAAATAATGAATGAATTGAAATAGATAGAACGACGACAATAATGGTAATAATTATATATTTATTGCAGTGGTGGCGAGGATGAAACCGTCGTTGCCGCCAATCATCATGTGGCCGTCGAACTTCGCCGCAAACCCATCGTAGACCGTCGTCATTGTCGCTCGCTGCGATCTACCCTCAGCTATTCCTTCAAGTCCGACCCGAGAACTTCATCCCTGTACATGACTACGACGACGACGACGAAGACCCTCTCGACCAATCAACCGAAGCAAGAGTCCATCCACAGAGACATCCACTCCGTGTTAAATTACGAACCCGCGTCGAGGGTCGCCTCCTTCAGGAGGGAGACGAAGACGGCGCAAACGCTGAGCATCGTCGTCGGCGGTTTCGTCGCTTGCTGGCTTCCATTCTTCATCTACTATCTGCTGACTCCCTTCCTGCCTTCGAGTCCCACCACCTCCGTCGTCATGGGTTATCTGACGTGGCTCGGATGGATCAATTCTGCCATCAATCCGTTCATTTACGCCTTNTACAGTCCAGACTTCCGGATAGCCTTCTGGCGTCTCACCTTCAGGCACTTTTCGAAGACGCGACGAGCCGACGTCAACGCCGCCGCCACAGCCGCCTCAACAGCAGCCGCCGCTGCAACCGCCTTCCAACACAAGTAGACAGCAGTAGACGTGACTGATCATCGATCATCATTATTACCACCTACCATCCTTCCTCCTAAACACTGCTGCTGCTGCTGCTACTACTGCTATCTTCTTGTAAATAATAACGTTTTAATTTATGTCTAGTCATTTTATAAAATTCCCAACGTACAAGAATTTCTTTTTATACAAACATACATACAACATATCAACATACAAAAATATAGATATGTAATTCCATTGCTCAAATTTGACAGCTTATTATTATTATTATTATCATAGGAAAAAAAAAACATGAAGAATAAAAAAACAAAACAATGAAGACCACATAGCTAGCAAAATTGGCTCGTTGAAAATTGCCATAGATTTATCTTCGATGTTCTAGTTAGTGAGTAATGAAATAAACTTCAAGACATTAAAATGTAAAATCTCGTAACTGTAGTTTGTATCATAAGTTGCGCAATGGAAGATTCCTTCATAATTAATAATAAAAACTAAGAAAAAATTAATGATTGTTTTTGTACTTTTCCCAAAACCAAACGATATTTATAAAACAATATTATCACTTATATTATAAATCGTAATATCCTGGTACTTCAAATACTTTCGAAATTTCTACACCACATAGCAGGCGACTCGGATGCAGTACGGGGTTGTCGAGTTTCTCCAATTTC